TGCTTTGTCCCTAACAGCTGTGTTTCCGAGTCTTGCCTTGCTCGTCCGTACAATGGAGACAGCAGGTTACCTGGGGTAAGGCCCATGCCTGGCACATGCCGTGCGTGGTAGATAACACACTCAGCCTCTCCGGCTGAGGTCATTACAAATTCATGGTCAGCAACTTCAAATGGTCACCCTGCACTGCCAGAAATCCTGCAATCCTACTCTGATTCTCTAGTGGGCTCACTAGTGACAACTATGTCACACCCCATCCTCGAGCCTTCGTCCCCTCCTCTTTTCCCACCCTGCTTTGGCTGCCACTTGCTCACGCTCCTTGGGAAGGTCCCTCATCTTTGCATGGCTAATTCTACAAACTCGTCTCTTCTTTCCCCTGTCTCTCGGACAACTGTCCCTGCTCCTATCAGAGGCCAGCTCCACCCTCCTCTGCGCTGGATCGGTACCCTCTCCCCGTGTCAAGGATCCCCTCTGTCTGTGTCATCAACTTCCACAGGCCACCCCCATCAGCACAGAAACAGGGGTTTATATTTTCCGTATTTGACCCCCTACCCCCTTCCAGCCAATGACCTCTTTCTCTGCTTCCCTTTGCACTAAAACTTTCTAAACAGTTGCCCTCGGTTGTGCTCTTTGAGTCACCGGTTCCTGTTTGCTGATCCATCTGTTCAAATCCAGCTTCCGTCCCTCACTCTTCCGCCGAGGGTGGAACCCTCCACAAGGTTGCCCCAGCTTCCTTGTTGCCAAATCTAGCACACGTTTCTCTTTGTCCCCATCTTACTCAACCTTTCGGCAGCGGTCCACGCGGGTCACCTCTCCTTCCTTCTTGAAACACTCTCTTCCTGCCACTGCCCTCCCCTGGCCTGCCCCCCACTTCCCTGCCCGCTCTGCTCCCTACTCTCTGCCAAACTTCCGGCATGGGAGCCTCCCACCTCAGTCCTCCTTCCTCCTTGCCGGTCTGAGCTGGAAACTAGTAGAGCATGGGTCACGTGAGCTCTATTGGTCAGAGCAGTCCCCAGGCCCACCCAGACTCAAGGGGAGGAGAAGCATCTCTGCCTCTCCCTGGGCAGAGGAGCAGAGGATTTGCAGCCGTCTTTGGCCCACCGGGCTAGAAACTGAGCAGCTTTCCTTGATTTCTCCTCTCTCGTCCACCACGTCTGATCCTCAGCAGTCTTGTCAACCCCACCTGCAGAATATGTCTCAAACAGTGTCTCATGGCCACTGCCACCGGCCTCGTTCAAGCCTCAGCCTCTCTAGCCCGGGTCACGGCATTGCCTATATCTGGCCTCTCTGAATCTGCTTTCACCCTGTACTCGTCTGTTCTCCCCAGTGCGGCCAGCGTGGGCTTTTGCACGTGGACTTCAGATGACTTCAGTCTCATGTTTAGATCTGTGTGGTCAGAAGACAATTCAAGCTCCTACTAACACCTGCACGAGCTGGCCCCAGCTTCTCCAGCCTCATCTTGCTCCTCTGCCCACCTCGCTCACCGCAGCCTGGCCGCTCTGGGCTCTCCTCTGCTTCTCAGACAGACCAGCTTGTGCCAGGTGTCGGGGCTCTTGCTCATGCTTATTGGCTTCCTGCAACCCCCTCCCCTGGGCTCTGGGAATGGCTGCCTTCTCCTCCTGCAGGTCCCAGCTCAAACATCGTCTCCTCTCTGAGGTTGCCTTGACCTCCACGTTCCTCCAGGTCCTTGTGCTGCGTGCAAACTTTCACACCCTTCACACTTGCAACGACTTCGTGATCTGTGTTTTGCTTATTTATTTGTCTGTCTTCCCCTTAGATTGCAAACTTCACAACGGCAGGACCCATGTCTCTTTGGTTCCACGCTGAACACTCAGCACCTAGCACAGAGCCAGGCACATAGTAAATACTTAACAAATGTTTGTGGAATGAATGAGAAAATCAAACAGTAAAGCATGCCAGGGCGTGGCACAACACACCTCCACGTGGCCCAGAATCTTATCTGCCATAAGCTCCAGCACGCTCCAGCAATGCCACACTCTTATCACGCAGAAGGTTCCTCCACGAGGCACCTTCCTCGATACAATCCACAGGCTCCCGGAAGCCCAACATATCACAACTTGGCCAACAGGCTACAACATTAGGTCTGGCCTGGATCTCACATTCAGTCCCAGGGAGCACTGCCTTGAGATCTGGACATGTCTAGCTAACCACAGGGAGCCACGGGAAGCCTCCTCCCACCCCACATTGGCCAGAATGCTGTTTGGGACCCAAGCATCTGAATCCCCACGCCTCAAGCAGCGGGTTCTCGGCCAGGGACCTGGGTCAAGCAGACAATGTGTCTTGGTCTTCCCAGAAGGCCCTGCTCAGGCCCCAGAGAAGAACAGCCCTTTCCGAGCAGCCAGAGCAGCTGGGAGGGTTTGGGGTGGCGAGAGATCTGGGCCTCTAGGGAGTGGAGGGGAAGCCTGGCCTCTGCTCTGCTGTGTCCTGAGGCTTGTCACTGCCCCTGTCTGGCTTCACCTCACCCTGTGGAAAGAAGAGAGCCTGAGAGGGCCTCTAGGAGCATCTGGATAGATGGGCAACCAAGGCCCAGAGAGGGCAGTGCTGCCTAGGGTCCCAGGCAAGGGAGGACAGAGTCACCACAGAGGCCCAGGCCACCACCTGCCTCTCAGGAAGGCTGAGGGCTCAGAGGCGAAGTCCTGCTGGGGTTCCCTCACCTGCTGCTCTGCCCCCGGCCCTTGGACAAGGCCTCGCTCTGGCAGAGAATGAGACAGAGAGTGAGTCACCAGGAGGGAAAGGGTCACAGAAAAGGAAAGTGAGGGTGTCCCGCACCCACCGGCCCTGCCCTTTTCCTCTCCTCCTGGGCCAAGGAGCCCAGTGAGTCACGAGATTCCACTGGGGAGGGCTCAGCGCCAAGCTCAGTGATGACGGAGAATGCCGTGTCCCTGCCTCCTGTGCACAGACCGACAGACAGACAAGGACAGGCAGGGGCCCAACCCCCCAAACAGATATAAGCAGACACCCATGCAGATGCACAGGTGCCTCTCCAGACAGGAAGGCAGACAGGGACAGGGACAGCCGCACAGCTACACACAGACATGCACGCCAACAGGAGCACAAACACCGGCATGCGATGCACTGACAGAGCGACCCCTGACCCACAGAGACAACATCCAGTTGGATGCATACACAGATACACAGGCACACAGCAGGCAGGCGGGTAAATGGATAGACAAACAGACACAGACAGACAAGGACAGGCAGACAGCCAACATGCAGACGCACAGACACACAGGCACACAGAAGCTAGACAGGTAAACAGACAGACAAGCAGACACAGACCGACACTCAAGCAGGAACACCCCACACACAGCTACTCAGATATACACATGGACACACACAACGCACACAGGTAGCCTCTGGGGGTGATTTTGGGCAAAAGACAGGCCGGATGCCCCGGGCCAGCCCCCAGCCCCAGAACCACGAAACTGATCCCTATGGAGCTCTTCTGAGCCTGGCACAAGCACTTCTGAAGGCACCTGCCATCTCTGGCCCAGAGGATATGACATTTACCAAAACCGAGGTGCCCACCCTGCAGTAAGAGGAATGCAGGTTAGATATGAAAAGGGACTTCCCGACCAGGAGAGTGTTGAGACCTGTAGTGGGTGATTAAGGGTGACTGGGGGAAAGGGCGGGTTTGTGGTAGGCAGGAAGCCTGTTCTGACCTCGGGCAAGTGTGTTATCCTGAGCCTCAGTTTCCCATCTAGGCTTTGTCCTCGCAGGTCCCTGCAGGAAGCAGATGGGCAGCTCCTGGGTGTGTTAGTGCCAATGCTGGGGCCCCAAGACGTTACCCCGCAGCCCTATCACCCTACCACCAGGGCAGGACCCCCTTGGTGACTGGCTGCCCAGTGCCCCCTGGCAGGGGTAACCCAGCCACAGGTGTCTGTTGTCCTGGTCTCTCTCCCCTCCCCCAGGGCTTGGGCTGCTGAGGATGGCCCCAGATTGCGGGAGGAGTGCGAGGAGGTCAGTGAGAGGGCAAAGGGAGTCCCCGATGCTGCTCTACTGGGTGGCACGTGAGGCTCAGGGCTGGGGACAAGGGGACTGTCCAGGTGTAGGCTCTTTCATCCTCCCTGCTGGTAGAGTCCTCTGGCCTGGGCCCAACCTTTGGAAGCGAGGGGATTGCGCAATGGGAGGTAAAAGGTGGTGGCAGGCCTGGCGAGACAGAAACCCCATTGTTTGGGGCCCAGGCCAGCCTGGGCAAAGGAAGGGTTTATGCCCGGGGCAGGAAGGAGGGGCTCTGCAGGGGCGCCAGCTGGCAGGCTCTTGCCTATGGACCCACGGAGGGGGACAGGTGCCAAGCAGGATGCCCTTGGGTTCGTTAGAGGGGGCAGTGCTCGGCGAGGCACCCAGGCAGACTGGGGAGGGCAGACACCACCAGGGGTGGCGGGGTGCAGAGGCCGCCCCCACACCACACCCAGCCGCATCCTGGGATGAGCTGCCCGGGACATGTGCAGGGTCCCGAACCGTCCTCCTCCGGATTCCAATCATTCCTGGGAACTGAGGCCGCTGGGGGTGGGGGGCCCAAGCCTGGGGGGCACTGTGAAGAGGGGTGCTCATGGCTGTTTTTATTCCCTGGGGGGTCAGGGGGAGCTTAGAGAATTTTGCTCCCCCACCCCATCATTTCCTAAACTCCTGTCCAGAACTCAGAGCTTGGGTACCCCTTATCTCCCCTTCCCTACCAGAGCCTCTCAGCCCGCGGTGAAGCCACTGGGAAGTCCTTCCCGGTGTCAGACCACAATCCTTTCTGCTTGGGTTCCTTCTGAGGGAACGGCTTCCACCACCAGAGACCCGGCCAGGACATCACGTGCTCCCGCCCCCCAGCCCGCAGGCCGGGTCCTGGGTTAAGGGCAGCTGCTCCAGGTGCGAACCAGCCGGCCCCGCCCTCCCGCCGAGCGCCGGGCGGCGCGGGCGGCGCAGCGGGCGAGGCGGTACAAAAAGCGTCCCGCCCCGCGCTCCTCGCTTGACTTTGAGTGTCCGGCCGCGCAGCCGGCAGGCGGGAGGCGCGTGGGGCAGCCTGGGCCCGGCCACACCCTCACCAGGTAGGGACGCTCCCCTGCTCAGAGGGCAGAGGTGTAGACGGAGAAGGAGCGGAGAGGAGGACCGGCAGGCATAGGGATCTAGACAGATGGCAGAGAGGGGCAGCGGAACGGGCAGAGGGACACAGAGGAACAGAAGAGAGGACAGGAGAGACGGGGAGACACCAGCGCGCCGTCAGGGACCCAGGTCGGGAATGGAGGCTGCGGAGGGCAGAGGGACCCAGGACAGGACAAAAGACCTTGGGTCTGAAGGATGGGTGCTGGGCGGGTGGCGGGGGCACCAAGAAAGCCACAACCCAGATTTTCTTGTCCTTGAGGTCCCTAGGCAGGTCAGAGAGGAGCTCCATTTCTGCTCAGTCCCTTCCCCTCTAAGCCAGGGCACACGAACTGTGGCTCCTCTGCTGCCGTCCTGCCGGGGGGCTCAGGAATCGAGGTCTCCCACCCTGCTGTACTCTGTTAGACTCACAGCTCCAGGAGGCTGGGAGACCTGTCTCCTGGTGTGGCGGGAGTCTCTGCTGCCCGCCCCCTCTGACCCCCAACCTCTGCCCTCCTGGGCCCAGGAGGCACCATGTGGAGATGTCCACCAGGGCTGCTGCTGTTGCTGCTGCTGGCTGGCCAGGTGGCCCCGGGTACCCGGCAGGGTCGTGGGCGCCGGGAGCTAGCACCGGGTCTGCACCTGCGGGGCATCCGGGACGCGGGCGGCCGGTACTGCCAGGAGCAGGACCTGTGCTGCCGTGGCCGTGCTGACGACTGCGCCCTGCCCTACCTGGGCGCCACCTGTTACTGTGACCTCTTCTGCAACCGCACCGTCTCCGACTGCTGCCCTGACTTCTGGGACTTCTGCCTTGGCGTGCCACCCCCTTTTCCCCCCATCCAAGGTGGGCACCAAGACGGCTAGGAGGGCGGGTCGCTTTGTCAACCCCAGACTCAGCAAGGCTCGGGAGCAAGGCTGATGCACTGACGTTTCAGTGGTGGCTTTGCAGACTCTGGGAAAGAAAACCTGCCTCACTCCCTGCTCCTCCGCAAAGTCCCTGCTGTGGTCTAACTTTGACTCTCTCTAATGAGACCGAAGGAGAGAAGACCCTGGGTTGGGACTCTAAATTGGCCCAGGGAAGGCAGCCTCTGCCCTTTCTCCCAGTCCTGTGGCCCCACCTGCTGACTCACCCTCTGCTGATAAGGCACACGGGGCTTGGTCAGAGGCATCTTAGCCGTTCCCCTGCCTTTGCTCAGGATTCTGTGCCCCTGAGACACTGCTCATACGTGGGTCGTGGGTCAAATCCGTGCCTGCTTTCAGCCCTCACCACCATCCTTTTCCACGCGCTTACCCCCGTCCAATAGGAAAGTCATTTGAATTCCTTCCCACGGTTCTCTGGGCCTTGGGCCAGGAGACTGCACACCTGAGTTGTCATCCCAGAGTGCTGTGTTATCTTAGGGGAGTTGCTTGCCTTATCTGTGCCTTGGTTTTCCCATACTCCTCCCACTTCCCATCTCCAAGCCCTATCTCATTTAAATGGCAAAGGATCCCAGGAATGTTGTGGCTGGTATCCAAGTGAAGCAAGAGGAATCCAAATTAGGGTCATTGAAGAACTTCCCAAGTAGCAATTGGTGTGTGAGGTGTGTGACCCTATAGGAGATGTCTTAAGTTATAGTTTGGCTCTAGTTCCAGTGAGGGCAGGAACAGTTGGGAGGGGCAGTGTGTGTGTGTGTGTGTGTGTGAGAGAGAGAGAGAGAGACAGACCGAGAGAAAGACCGAGATGACCTGGGGAGGGTTCAGGGTACCTGACTCTGAGGACCCAGCCATCCCAACCCTCCTCTGTGGCCCTGGTTCCACTTCTCTTCTCCTCTTCCCTCCCACCAGGATGTATGCACGGAGGTCGAGTCTATCCAGTCCTGGGAACCTACTGGAACAACTGTAACCGTTGGTGAGTGTTTGGGGCCTTGGGTGGGGCTTACCTTGTGGGCCTTGTGGCCAACAGACTTGGTCCAACCCTGTCCCTGCTACTCATTCGCTGGGGAGAAGTCCTTTCCCTTCTCTGAGCCTCAGTTTCCTCATGGGAATAACATGGGAATTTTAACACTGACCGTGTGAATTTACATAACAACATTCCGACAACATTCCCAGGAGTGGTCAGCCATGGATGCCTGGCCCAGGTGCCACCCTGGAACTGGGCGTCCTCCCCGCCCCTCCTGGCTTGGGCTGGGCTGCCCCTCCCAACTGCTCCTGCTGTCACGGGAGAGTCAGGGAGAGAAGGGGGCGCCAGGAAGGAAACCTCTGACTGCAGCATCCACTGCCCTGGGCCAGCGAGGGTCAGGGATGGCTGAGCTGGCGGCCAGCCAGCCTCTCGCAGGGCCTTCCCTGGAACGTGGCCCTGGCTCCTGTTCCCACTCCTCCCCACCATTCCCGCCAGGAGGAGGAAGGGGTCATGGGTGCCCCCCCACTGAATCTGGGATGGGAAGGGGAGGAAAGCTGGGTAGGAAGGCTGGAGTGCCTGAATGGGAATAATGGGGACCCTGCGACTTGGAGGAGGCACTTGGAGGAGGCGGCCCTGCACCCCCTCCACCCCTATTCCCTCTTTGCCTGGGACTGAGAGGCCCCAGGGAGAAGGAAACTTTTAGGAATGCGTTGCACATAAGCTGTTTCCATTGCCTCACTGGGGTGAGGGGTGCCTGGGTCACAGAGAGGGGAGGACACTGCGTGTCAGCTGTCAGCGTGTGTCTGGGTGAGAGAATGTGCGCGTGCAGTGTGGGTGCGTGCAGGCTGTGTGTGTCCAGAAGGATGGAGCATGCCTGCCGGATGCCACGGGGCCTCTGGCTGCTGAGGGGTTAACACTCTTTCCCACTCCAGGCCCCCTCTGGAATGCTGGGACCTGCTGCCACCAGCCCTGTCTAGACCTGTGCTGCGGGCAGCCCTGGGGGCAAAGGAGGAGGTGGCAGGAGAGGGCTGACCAGCCCACTGCCCTCCCCTCAGGATAGCTCTGGGTGGCTGTGTTCCCTCTTGTCACCTGAGTGGGGGTGGGGGCACATCTGTGTGCCTTCCAGGGTGTGCGCGCCCTCAGGGATGCATGGAGAGAGCCCAGTGAACGGAGGGGAAAGGAAGGACGGGAGAGCCTCCCTTCCCCCGCCCGCTCCTGCAGCACAGCCCAGCCATACTGGGTCCTGGTTTCCCCTGGGGCTCCTTAAAAGGCAACATTGGAGGCGGGAGCCTTGGGTGGCTTGGAAGGAGGCAGTTTAGCATCTTGTAATAGCAGTTATGAGCTTGTAAAAGCATCATAGAATTCATAGAATTCAACCCTTCGGTCCACTCCTATTTATTAAAGACCTACTGCGTGACAGGCACCGTGCTGGGCTGGGAGATGCAGCCAGAACACAGCAGACACAGTCCTGGTGCCCCTGGAGCTTCTAGGCTAATATTGAAGGACATAGGAAAACAATAAAGAAATAGATCACTACGTGCTGTTATGGGGGAAAAGAGAGGACCACAGGGTCTTAGTTTAGAGTGGGGCAGGCAGATGGGCCCAGCTCGTTGCAGCTGCAGCTGGGGAGAGGGGGTCTCATAAGCTGTGATGAGGATTTTGTATTTTGTTTTAAGTGTCATGGAAGCCACTTAGGGAGCACACCATCTGGTTTGCATTGTGCAAAGATCTCTCTGGCTTTGGAGTAGGTAGGGAGTGGATTTTTGGTCAGGGGTGGGAGACTTGATTAGGAAGCCATTGCCACGGTCCAGGTGAGAGATGACAAGGCGGCAGTGGAGGGGTGGGCAAGGGCAGGTGGACTCCTGATGTGCCATCCCCAGGCCCTGCTGTTGGGGGACGCGGGAAGGGGACACCGTAGACCATGTGGTACTCTGATTTGAACTGGGTGCCATTTTCTGAGTTGAGGATGTCAGGGGAGGAGCAGGCCCGGGGAAGGCAATTTAGGCTATTGTGAGCTTGAGGTGCCTCTTACACATCCAGTGATGTTGGGGGGCAACTGGACATGAGTCTGAAGCTCAAGGAAGGGGCTCTGGGCTTCCTGTAACAAGAACGATAACAGTAGGTATCAATTCTGAGCGCTCGCGATGGGCCAGGCCCAGTGCTAAATGCTTGCAAGGCTGTCATTTAATCCCTGGAAAGTGGGACTATTACTATCATCTTTTTTTCTTTTTCTTTTTTTTTGAGACTGAATCTCGCTCTGTTGTCCAGGGCTTGAGTGCAGTGTCATCATCACAGCTCGCTGCAACCTCCAACTCCTGGGCTCAAGAGATCCTCCTACCTCAGCCTCCCAAGTAGCTGGGACTACAGGCGTGCGCCACCATGCCCGGCTAATTTTTCTATTTTTTGTAGAGACGGAGTCTCGCTCTTGCTCAGGCTGGTCTAGAACTCCTGACCTCAAGTGATCCTCCTGCCTTGGCCTCCCAGAGTGCTAGGATTACAGGCGTGAGCCACCACGCCCAGCCCTATTATTATCCCCATTTTACCGACAAGGACATTGAGGGAAAGAGAGCTTAAATAATTTTCCCAAAAATCACATGACTAGTGGGTGAGGACTGGAACCCAGAATGTGCATTCCAGAACCCATGTTTAGTCATGTCACTATACTGCCCCAGCCATTCATTCATCCCACAACTGTTTATTGGGTGCCTACTCTGTGCTAAGTTTTCCCAAGCACTGAAGATAGCAGACAATACCTGCCCTCCAGGAACTTAGAGTCTATGAGGAAACAGGTATAAGCGACATAAACGCCTAAATATATAGCACGTTAGATAGTGATGACATGCTAAAGGAAAAAATAAAACAGGGAAGTGGGATAGGACTTATAAAGGATGTTGCATTTTAAGATGGGGTGGCCAGAGAAGGCCTCCCTGAGAAGGTGACATTTGAGTACAGACTTGGAAGAGATGAGGATGAGCAGAAGGGATGTGGGAGGAAGAGCAGCTCAAAGGCCCTGGGGCAGGAGGATGCTGGTGGAGCATCAGGGGCCAGCCCAGCTGGGCCTTAGAAACCAGGATTAGGAGGAGGAAGGGGTCAGAGAGAGGACGGGAGGACAGCCAGGCAGGGCCTTGTCACTGTAAGAACTTTGGCTCTTACTTTGTGATGTGAAGCCAGTGGAGAGTTGGGCAGAGGAATGACATGATATGACTTAGGTTTAGCAGGGTCACTGTGGCAGCTGCGTTAAAAATATACTAGGGGGAGAGGAGGGGGCTGGTGCGGGGCAGATGCCAGGAAAACAGAGAGGAGGCCACAGCAGAGACCCAGGCGAGAGGGGAGGTGATCAGACCGGACTGTGGTGGCTGCAGGAGAGAATGAGAGTAGTTTGGATCCTGGATTTGCCAATGAATTGGATCAACATGTGAGAAAAAGTCAAGGGTGACTCCCAGGTTTTTGGCCTGAGCTCCAGGAAGGATGGAGTTGCCATTTTCTGAGAACTCTGGGGGTGCAGTCATGGGAGATCAGGAATTTGGTTTGGGGTGTGTTAAGTTTGACCTGCTGTCAGACACCCCAGTGGTGATGTTGAGTAGCAGCGAGATGCTCGACTCCAGAGTTCAGGCAGAGATGTGAGCGGTAGATATAAACTTGAGAATGGTGAACTTGAAGTTGACATTTAAAGCCACCAGGCTGGACGGGATCACGTAGGGGTTCTCCCACAGTCGCTGGTACAGAATCCTAGGCCCATGTTGACCTCTGGGGCCCCATCCCCTCAGAGGGCCCCGGGCCCCCACCCACCCTTTCCTTCCCTCCTTTCTCGCCAGCACCTGCCACGAGAAAGGGCAGTGGGAATGTGACCAGGAGCCATGCCTGGTGGACCCAGACATGATCAACGCCATCAACCGGGGCAACTACGGGTGAGAGGCCCTGGAAATGCTTCCAGCGGGCACACACGCATGCACACGCGCACACACACACACTTACGCTCTCCCCGAGCTGCATGTCGTGCCAGGCACACCCTTGCTCAGATGTTATCTCTGTGTACACTCAGCCACCATGCATCTCTCCCACCCCTATCACATGTCCCCAGGACCCCAGACTGGACAGGAATGTGACTTCCTTGCATCCCCTCTCCTTCAGGTGGCGGGCTGGAAACCACAGTGCCTTCTGGGGCATGACCCTGGATGAGGGCATTCGCTACCGCCTGGGCACCAACCGCCCATCTTCCTCTGTCATGAACATGAATGAGATCTATGTAAGTCCATCCTTGCCATCTCCCCATGACTTAGGACCTCAGGGACGCTGGCACCCTGTGCCCAGCTCCTCCAAGGGCCTGGACCTATCCCCTACCAATAGGCTGTGTGTCCCTGGGCAAGTTTCTCCCCTTCTCTGGGCCTTTGTTTCCCACCTATAACAAGACATGCTGCACTGGAAGAACTGATGCTCAGATTCTGAGTTTTGAGGTCCCAGCATCAGCCCCTCCTGGCCTCCCCAGCCTGGGAAAAATGCTGTTGGTCCTAGTACAGCTGGGTTAGGGCCCAAGGGGCCAGGAGGTCGCCTTGGTATTTTGGGAAGGGAGGGACAGACACTCCTCCAACTCTGGCCAGAGGGCAGCAATTCTCGGAAATGAGAGCCCAAGAGAGGAGAGGGCTTCTCCCTTCCCCCAGTGGGACCCTCTGGGGGACAAATGGGAACCAGACCCAAACAAAGTGTGGGGAGGGGGAGCTTCCGCAAGCCAGAATGGGGCATGCACCAGTGGCTCTGTCCCTTGTCAGTGGCAGGCAGGGGGAGGCAGGAGGGGCCCTCCCTGCAGGGAGACTTCAGCCCGGGGCTGGGGTGACCAGACCCTGCCCTGTCCTTACTCCCCTGGGCCTCTGGCTATTTTCTGCCTCCTGCTGCTTGCCTTGGCAGCCTGCCTGGTCACGAGACCCGCTGCTTATTCCCGCCCCTCCCTTTGGGGCCTGAAGCTCAAGGCCCTGTGGAAAGAAGGGTGTGGCCGACCAGAAGGTGCAGAGGAAAGAGGCAGGGGTTGAGAGTGGAAAGTGGAGTGACCCTGGCCTGGCCACTGCCCTGTTCCTGGGCTGGCTGCCTCATCTGTAAAGCAGGACCGGTCACCGGGTCCTGTGCCACCTGATACTTGGGAGGCACTAAATGGTGCCTGGCTCTTCCACTCAGGTTGAAGTTGGAGGTAACTGGAATCCCACAGCAGCAGGAGGGCTCAAGATCAAACTGCACAATGGCCTGGACTCTTGGTGGCCCTCCAATGCCAATGGGCCCCTGAGGGGCAGACCAGGGGAGGCAGGAGGCAGACAGGACAATCTTTGTCTTGCAGACAGTGCTGGGCCCAGGGGAGGTGCTTCCCACGGCCTTCGAGGCCTCTCAGAAGTGGCCCAACCTGATCCACGAGCCTCTTGACCAGGGCAACTGTGCAGGCTCCTGGGCCTTCTCCACGGCAGGTATGTCCAAGGCCGGGGGCTGGCATGGTGCAAAGAGGGCCAATGCTTGAGGCCCCTGACGTCCCCTCTGCCTCCCCCATCAGCTGTGGCATCCGATCGGGTGTCAATCCATTCGCTGGGACACATGACACCTGTCCTGTCGCCCCAGAACCTGCTGTCTTGTGACACCCATCACCAGCAGGGCTGCCGCGGCGGGCGTCTCGATGGTGCCTGGTGGTTCCTACGTCGTCGAGGGTATGCGGCAGGGGTGTGGGCAGGGAGGAGGGCAAGATATCCCGTGAGCAGGGCCCGGGCCGTGCTGCCCCAAGTCACTTTGCCCCCCTCTTGCTGCCTCTCCAGGGTGGTGTCTGATCACTGCTACCCGTTCTCGGGCCGTGAGCGAGATGAGGCTGGCCCCGCGCCCCGATGTATGATGCACAGCCGGGCCATGGGTCGGGGCAAGCGCCAGGCCACTGCCCGCTGCCCCAATAGCCATGTCCATTCCAATGACATCTACCAGGTCACTCCTGCCTACCGACTCGGCTCCAATGTAAGTTGGCCCTTTGGCAAGGGGGCAGAGGCAGGAGGGTTGGGAGGTTAGCGAAAGGCTGAAGCCTCACCCCAAGAGATGCTCTCCCTCCACCCTCCGCGCTCCAGGAGAAGGAGATCATGAAGGAGCTGATGGAGAATGGCCCTGTCCAAGGTCAGTGCCCCTCTGCCTGCACTCTGATTCCAGAAGCTTGTGCCTGCTTGAGACCGGGCACAGTGGCACGAGTGGTCTGCACAGCATTGAGCAGCAAGTCCAGTGGGGTGGGAGTGGGGGAACCATGTCCCCCCGCTGCAGGCAGCACCTGGGGGGGCACTTAGAGTCTGGGTACAGAGAGGCCTTGGTGTCTGGGTGTACATCAACAGACTCAGGCATCAGCGCTAACAGGCCGAGCGGGCCCTACTTTGATACCTGCCCACAGCCCTCATGGAGGTACACGAGGACTTCTTCCTGTACCAGGGCGGCATCTACAGCCACACACCAGTGAGCCGTGAGAGGCCAGAGCGATACCGCCGGCATGGGACCCACTCGGTCAAGATCACAGGGTGAGGGGTTTGTGGGCACAGGGGCTTGGGGACAGCAGGGCTTGCACTGGCGGGGGTGGGACTGGGGCCCGCCTTGAATCCTGACAATCTCTCTGGAAAGCCAGGATTGCTCTCCCCATTTCCAAAGGAGGGAGCCGAGATGCAGAAAGAGGAGGGACTCATCCTGGGTCACCCTGAGGGTTGGGAGCCTTGGAAGGTTTTCTAGGAACAGTTCCTTCCTGACACACGGGGATACAGTAACCCCAGTGAAATACAGATGAAGATGCAAGAGTTGGTCAACCTCTCCCCATCTCAGCACCTGTCCCAGCTCTGCCTGACTCACGGAGTGACCTGGGCAGGTCACTCCCCCAGGCCTCTGTTTCCCCATCTGATATAACAGGAGATGTCAATCATTGATTCCAATGAAATTAATGAAATGTGCTTTGCAGTGGGAGTTTGGGGCCTCTAAGTTACCCACATTCTCTGAGTCTCCTCCTTTTCTGGTCCTTGGCACCCACCCCTCCCTGGCTTCCCGAGTGAGGTGGGGCAGGCGGATGTGAGGTCCCACAGAGCTGGTGCCTAGGCTGTGGGTCCCTGGAGGACCCAGGCCCAAGTTCCCTCCTCTCCTGCTCACCCCTCCCTGTGTCCCCTTGGTGCCTGCCCCCTATGCTGGGCTTGGGAACACAGACTCCCAGATGCCGAGAGCGAGGGAGGTGCAGAGAGGGACAGAGACGTGCTCAAGTCCTAAAGACGCACCCAACTTTCGCAAGGGCCTTGGATGGGGAAGGCCCCGGGGTTGGAGCCCCTGAGAGCTGGTAGACTCAGCGCCTCCCTCTCACCCACTCTGCCCGCAGGTGGGGTGAGGAGACGCTGCCCGATGGAAGGACGCTCAAATACTGGGTGAGGCTGCTGTCCCCTTCCCCTGCCCCCTCTTCCTCTTGCCCCACTCGCATTCCCCTGCTCACCCCCCTCCTTATGCCCAGACGGCGGCCAACTCGTGGGGCCCAGCCTGGGGCGAGAAGGGCCACTTCCGCATCGTGCGCGGCGCCAACGAGTGCGACATCGAGAGCTTTGTGCTGGGCGTCTGGGGCCGTGTGGGCATGGAGGACATGGGTCATCACTGAGGCCGAGGGCGGCTGGCGGAAGAGCCCCCTGTGTGGCTGTGCCCCCAGCCCCGCCTGACGGAGCCCGGGGCACAGGCGGGCGCCAGGGCTCTAATCCCAGCGTGGGTTCCGCTGACACAGCGCCCAGCCTGGGAGCTGCGGGCAGGCGAGGCTGGTGGAGCCCCTAGACCTCCCAGCGGGGACGGGGAAGGGCCTGGCCTGGGAGGAGCAGAGCCTGCAGATCCCAGGACCCTGGCACCCCCCACCCAAGATCACGGAAGCCAGGACACCCCCAGGTCTCCATCCCCACACTCCTGTATTCTTATTCTTCAAAGATATTTATTTTTATTTTCACTGTTTTAAAATAAAACCAAAGTATTGATAACTGCAGTGCCTTGGAACTTTTGGGAATAGAAAGCCAAGCCAAAGCAAGGTGGCAGGTGGTCGGCCAGCAGAAAGGACTGCCTGAGCCACTGCTGGCTGGCGGGGGGTGGGGCGGACTAGAAATCCTAGCCTCCAGTCAGCCCTAATTGTCAGTGCCCTGGGCATTGACCCACTCGGAGGAGGAACATGGATGGCGAGGCCTTTGGCCTCAGAAACGTGGGCCGTGGGAATCACCTTTCAGATGCTGAGTCAGCGCTGCCTGCAGGGGGAGCCCTGCCCACCAACCAGCTGCATTGGCGCCAGGGCCCAGCGGGCAAGGGGGGCCCAGCCCACAGAAGCTGCAGCCTCTGTCTCTGCAGATCATTCTCGCCAAGCCACCCAGGCAGGGGGGCCCCTCTCCTTCTCGTGGGCCAAGCTGAGCATGCCTCCCGAGCCTGCTTCCCACCCCACCTCCCCTGGCTCCCAGCATCAGCAAAATAAGCCCACGCCCTGGCCTGGCTTTCAAGGCCACCAGGACCTGCCCTGCCAGTCCCTCCCCAGCTTCTTCAGCCTGTGCTCCGGCAACTCCGGAGTGTGCACTGCCCTTCAAACGCCCAGTACACGTGCAAGCCACCAGGCATTTGCACATGCTGTTCCCCACTCCAGATGCCCTTCCATGCCAACCCCCTGTCCCACTCCTACTTCAAAGACAACTCCAGAGCTCCCTCATCCAGACAGTACCTGTGGAGGGTGGCCGATGTGCCAGGTGCTGTGCAAAGGACTCATGAGACCCCAAAGCACCCCAGCCCCAGCCAGCATGGGTTAGACACCCCCTCCCTCACCGGCATTCTGCCCTGCCACCCACTATTTCCCGTGTCTGGGTGTCTACCTACCTCCCCCATTATGCTGGAAGTTCCTCGAGGGCAGGGACTGGGTCTGCTTCAGTAGTGGGTCCTGGTACCCGTACTGCTACCCTGGTATAGGTGGTGTTCCAGTTTAGGGAATGACTATGACCCAATCTTTCACCTCCACTTCCCTCACAAGGCTTTGCCCCACCCCGTGCCTCGAGGCACAGCAGCCCAGCCAGCCTGGTGCTCCTTCCTTTCCAGGAGTGGGGGGGGTGGGGGCGGGGGTAGTGTTTTGCCTGGGGAGGGGCATCCAGCAGCAGGAATCCTCCCCGCAGCCTCCAGCACACAGGGAAGGCAGGGGTGGCAGGAGTCACCGAGGGGACAGTGGGGATGTCCTCCTCCCTGGCAGCCCCTTGGGGCAGCTTCATCCCCCATGTCCCCCGTGGAGGCATCACCTGAAAGGAATGCGGGGCGCCGGATAGCTGCCGCCTTTGTCTCGCTTCCTGTTTGTGGCCCTGGGACAAGGCCACGCGGGGAGCCCCGAGGAGGGGTGGCTTCCGCCCTGGGACGCGCCCCACTGCAAAAACCTCGTTCTGGAGCCGCTCTGGCGAGGCTGGAATTTTCTACAAGGACCTTTGGAGGAAACTATGGGGGGGCAGGGCAGGGAGGGGAACAGAGCGTGCCCTGCGGAAGGCCAGGCCCTGCGACCCAACCAAGAGATGGGCCTGGTCCTTCCTCAGCCTCCCTCCAGGCCTTGGAGCCCCAGGCCGGCCCTGGCATGGGAGAGGGTGCGGATGGGGGCTGGGGAGGCCTCAGCGGATGCCTCAGGCCTCGTCAGCCACCCCTGCTTCTGGACGTAGGTGATGGATGTGCTCCTGTCAAGAGTGAGGCCCAACCTCCCATGCCCTTGAGTTGACTCAGCTGAAAGAAATTCTGGCACCCAGCCCCGGGCTGTGTGTCCTGGGGCTAGTCCTTTCCTTTCCCTGGGCCGAGGCCAGGGGTCATTCGTTAGACAGACCTGGGTTTCAAGCCCTGCTCTGTTTGCCTCTGAGCAATACTGGAAGTGTCTCCGTCTGTAGTGCGGGATAGTAGTACTCACCTGCCTCCTGGGGCTGGTGGGAGGATTAAATGAGACAAAACATGCTGAGCTTTTAGCTCAGTGCTTGGAACTTATTAAGGACTTAATAAATGGCAACAGCTATGTTCATTTTAAGGAATTGGACTTGATACTACCAAGGCTTTTCATATGAGCTAAACATTTACAGAGTGCTTAACCACAAGTTTCAGCCAGCACATTGTTCTGAATGATACATTATCTCATTTAAGCCTCAAACAAACAACAAAAACTATTTCCAGAAGCACAGAGTAACAAGAAAGTTGCTGAAGGTCAGTTAATAACGGAGACAGGATTCAAACCCAGGTATCTAAATCCCCATCACACTCCTCGGCTCTGAACTAATTGATGGGAGTGGTTAGGATGGATAGTGATAGTTCAAGATCCCTCCCCAAGCCCTTGCTCTGTCTGGCAAACTCTTACTCGTTCTTCAAAACCCAGCTCAAGTCTTCCTCCTCTGGAAAGCTTTTCCTGACACCCATCTTCTGGATCTCCCGCACTCCTGCAAACATCCCTGGCACAGAGGAAGTGCCTGTTGACAACTTCTCCTCCCACAAAGGGGCGGGACAGTCATTTTTCTTTTTCTTAGCTCCATCCTTTCCCAGCCACCAAATGTTGCACTTGGGCATTCATTCTGGTCTCCTGTGGGGCTCTGCAGGGTCCCAGGGCACCTGACTGTAATCTCGCAGGGGCTGCTAAGTCACATCGCTCCACAAGTGCTGATGCCTCACATCTTCCTGGTCTCTTGCCAAACCCCCAACCCTGCCTGGTGCCCATTAAGGGAAAGGAATTCATGCCTACTGAGCCTGCAGTGGGCCAGGCCTTGGGCTGAGTGCTCCACACACTTCAGCTCATTTGATCCCACCCACATCCCCGGGAGGAAGTGTGTTTCTAGAAACCCAGTGTCAACCATCTAGGCAACTCTGAGAATCCAAGGAAGGGGTGGACCTCCCAATTGTGAGGAGGGCTAGTGGGCCCAGGCAGAGCTGGAGCCCCAGACTGCCAGGACACACACTCTTTGTTTCTCTGTCTCTGTCTCTGTCTCTCTCTTTCCTGCCTCTCTAGACTAACTCTGCGTGAGCAAGGACATGTGGCCAGTGACGGAGCCTGAGGCTCCCAGTCCAGAGGCATTTTCTCAGTTCTGATTCAAAACACAGAAGTTTTCTGATTGGCCTGGCTCCTGTCAGGTGTCTGGCTGGGGGCAATCACCTGTGGCCAAGGGGCAGGGTCACGGAAGCCATGGCAGCCCTTGCTGAACCAGCGTTTGGGGGCGGAGGAGAGCCCCAAAGAAAGAGAGGGGTGCTGTTCCTGGGGAGAGAAGGAATGCTGAACAGATGACAGAAACCGGTCCCCAACAGCTAGGGGCTACTCTCACCTCCATTTGACAGATAAGGAGATGGAGGCTCAGAGAGGGCTCGGGACTTGTCAGGTCACACAGCTGATAAGTGTTGGAGCTAGATGCAGACCCCACTTTATGAAAATCCTGTGGCTCTGACACCAGCACCCGAGGCAGCCTCTTCCCAAAGGAACGCAAGGCCGAGTAGAGCAGGCCTTGGGGGAGCACCCTGCTTCCTGCCCCCGGGGCTGCAGCGGGGCTCCCGCCATGGGACGGGATGGGATGGCTAACAGAATATGCCAGTTTATAGATCAGAGAGGTGGGTGCCAGGTGAGCCATCCTGAAGATATGCGCTATGAGGAAGCGCTCTCATTACCCTTCCTACCAGGAGGAAACTGAGGCTGGGGCTGGGGGAAGGCGAAGTGACTTTCCCCTGCTAGGAAGTGGTGGGGAATCTCATCTGTCATCCAAAACCTGAGCTTTAGCTGAGCTGTGTCCAGGTGCCCACATGGCCACTCTTCAGCCCATACCCAAGCAGGCCGTTTGGCCTCCAACTCTGTGCACAGATGGCCGGGCCTGAAGTTTGTGGCTCATGGAAGCTGGTGATCAAGGTGCACCTGGCAGGAGGCGGAGGGGGATTATATAAAACTCAGGTGGGCTGGGGCTGCAGGGGAGTGTCAGGTCTGCAGAGTGGGAACTGAATCACTACTCATCCTGTCAAGTTCAAAAGCCTCCTCCTCTGAGAAGCCCTTTCGGCTTGCCTGGATAGTCCTCATCCATCCTCTGAGCCCCGCTCTCAGCCCCCTTTCTCCATCCCAGTCCAGCATGGCAGCTGTTGGCACTCCTTCCTGATGCAGGCTTCTTCAGAAAGGGGCTGGGCCTCACCCTCCCTGCTCTCAGTATTGCCTGGGGGCTGTCTGCCGGGAAAACCGGGAAGTGAGTGAACAGGATGTCCTCATGCAGGGCCCAGAGACAGTGTCAGCCTCGGAGGTGGTGCCCCCTGGTGGCTGGATCCACCCCTCCCCTGCCGCAGCAGAGAGGTAGCCAACAGAAGCCACCTGCGCAGCGTCTCCACCTGAGCCCTGTAATGACTTCCGTGACTTCGTGTTTTCCGTACCTTCCCTGACTGAGTCACAACTGCTCTGTGAGGCCTGGCACAGGGGGCAAAGCAGGAAGGGGCAGAGCTGGGCGTGGATCTCTGTCTGACTCCACGGGCCAACGGTGGCCCGCGCTGCCTGCCTCTCACCCAGACGTCCTGCCCCAGCCTGGCCAGGACAGGGTCCAGGTCTGGCTTTGGGGTTCCCCTGACTTCACAGCACTGTCCTCCACTTGGGCCTCCGTTTGGGCTCCCCGTTTCCTCCAGCACACACGCACCTCCCTCAGAAAGCCTCTCACTCGGAGCCAGACAGACCCAGGTTCAAGTTCAAGCTCCACTGGGTGCCCTGAAGCTCACTTTTCAGCTCACTTTTTTGCTGAACTTCCGTTCCCCAGTCTGTAAAATGGGAACAGTGGTTTCTGCTATTTCTGCATGGGAGCTGTGCTAGACTGAGGAATTCCGTAAGAGCGAGGAAATGGGAGAAACAAGTTTGCCCACAGAGAGTTAGACTGAAGAAACTGGTCTCTGATGAATGAGAGCAGAGGGGTGCAAAGTCACCTTAAAAGGCCAGGCTAACTCTGAGTCCTGACAAAGATTCTTTGCTTGGCCAAACTTTAGTCAG